ATAATAAAGAGCTCCTATTTTTTGGTATGTGGTAGTGCTTCATTAGAAAAGTTTTTATTGAAAAAAGGTAATTAAAAAACAGGAATACGGTTTAATATTTTTAAATGTTTAATTCGATTACTGACGAAAACATAATTGCTAATAATAACATAAGGTAGTTTTGAGAAAATATACTTATACAGTTTTTAAATTTCGTTTAATAGCTATTGTCCGATCTAGGAAACTTTGAAATAATTAATTATATGCGTATTGATCAATTTTAATTTCTTTTTCTAGGTTATCAATATGGTTTTGATAATAGCCCTTGGAGTTTTATTGTCAACAATTTTATTATACTGTGCATACTCAAAATGGAAGTTCCAATATTGGGCACGACAAGGAGTTCCTCAATTAAATCCTCGCATATTTTTTGGAGACACTCTTCCTTTGGTTAGAGGCAAACCAGTCCAAGACTTCCACTTGGATATTTATCAGAAGTTCAAACCCACTGGCGCCAAATGCGTAGGAATGTATAATTCACATATACCTGAGTTAGTGGCCATTGATATCAATTTGCTGAAAGATATCATAGTGAAAGATTATTCATCCTTTGCCTCACATGGACTGTTCTATCATGAAAAGAATGTACTCACACCTCACGTGTTTAATATTGAGGGACAAATTTGGAAAGAGCGTCGAACGAAATTGACTCCATTATTTACTTCCGGTAAGAAAGCACAGAAATTCTAAAAGTGTAATATTTTAAGGTCTGATTGTTTTACCAAACTCGTAAGGACGTTAACTTAAATGTATCTTCTGCTGTATATTTACTAAATTCAAACATTTGCATCAGGCGTTATTTTTATAAAAGCTTAATCAAGCCAGTAGTGCTTCTTGGCAAAATATTCGTGTTATTTGGTCGCATTACCCAAAAACTTTAACTTTGAATTTGGTGGCTTCTTACTCAAATTTGTTTTGAATATATTCACTGTTGGTAATAGTCGTAATGTTTTACATCCAATATCTTGAGAGCCGCACTTTCTAAGATGCCTGCGAACACCAGCACCAGTTATTCATTATTGCATTAAAATTAGCACTTAGGTTATATCTTTTATACCTAAGTCGTATTCACTTTATTTTCAGCAAAAATGAAACAAATGTTTGCCACAGTGGCTGGTAAAAGCCCTGGACTGATTCGACTCGTAGGCTTGTCAGTCGATGCTAACAAACCTGCCGACATAAAAGAAATTCTTTCAAGATTTACGACTGATGTAATTTCGGAGGCAGCATTTGGACTTGATTGCAAATCTTTGGATGAGCCGGATAACATGTTTCGGTATTATATTTAGTAACTTGACTTGGATAGATTAGGAAAATAGTTTTATTTTTAGATCAATTGGAAGGGAGGCTTTCAAGCCTAATTCCATCAAGTTATATATAGAGAATTTATTCCCTAGCCAATTCTTAGGCAATATTGGATATCAAGCATTTTCAAGTCGCATTGTGTCTTATTTCTCAAGTAAGAACAGTATTTATTAAAACGCATAAAACGTATCCTTGAAAATTGGTTTTATTACAGAAGTTGTAAATGAAACTATCCAATACAGAGAAAAGAATAACGTTCAGCGAAATGACTTCTTGCAGCTCATGCTGCAGCTAAAGCAGCACGGATCGCTCGTGAAAGAAGATGGCACCGTTGACGTAAAAGGTATGTTGTGAATATCTGAAATCCTGCTGATTAGCATGCCTCTCCAAGCTTTATGCATTTTAATTTATTCCCAGTTTTGCCAATTTCAGAAACGGGAGCATATATCACCGACAAGGAAATTCTTAGCGAATCATTCGTAATATTCCTGGCCGGACATGAAACATCTTCAAGTGCATCCACTTTTGCTTTATTTGCTCTTGCCCAAAATCCAGATATCCAAGACAAACTCCGGACTGAAATTAATGAGGTATTGAAAAGACACGATGGAAAATTCGGCTATGACGCTATCATAGAGATGGAGTATCTTGACAAAGTAGTAAGAGGTAAGTAAATTATTAATTGGTGGTTTTTTATATTGAAACGCTTACATATTTCGGAAACGAGTGATTCGAGGAAAAAACGTTACAAATAAGAAGTTAAGATCTGGAAGGGGGACGTTTATTCGTGTCAGAAAAACAACGCCTACTTCGACCTGCCCTGTCCCCTGCCTAGCCTACAAGAGGCTAGGCAGGGGCCAACTTGAGAATTTCAAATGGTAACCACATTTTATTGGAGATTCGAATAGTACGTCAAAAACTGAGAGTAATCTATCCAAAACATTTTCTTCGATTTTGACAGGTGGCGCTGCATTTCATCAATTATCATTTGTGTTGCTTTAAATCTGCTAAACTATCCATTATTTAACTAAAACGCTGAAAATGTTAGTGTGACCAATCGCATCTATTAATGTCAGAGGAATATTCGGTCCGGAAATTGTTTGATGATGAAAATCAAATATGTATCTCCAAATCAACAAAACATCTATTTGTTTATTAAAAGTATAGCGTTAATAGTTTGAAAATTCGCATTGCCAATACGTGACATTTCGAAATGTATTTTGAATATGAAACTGTCAAAGTCATCTAAAATTTCTCTCAACTCGATGTAGGGACGCTGATAAAAGCGTAGAAATTTCGAATTATTGATTTCACATTTATTAATTTCGTTCTGAGTTAGAACCACTATTTGAATATGATTTAAATAAGCTGCTATAATTTTTGATATAAGCGCATTAAATTTGCAAGAAAAAATTGAAATTATGTTTGTATACCGAGAAGCCGGCCCAAATCTTCATAATGCTGTCTCGCTCTTTAGGCTCAGCGTTTTCCATATATATATGTCCAGATGATTGTCCAGCATATTATTTAGTAGTTGCACGTGAAGTACTGAACCGTAACTTTAAAGACCAATGGATCTATAGAGATGGGCCTGTAACCGTGCCTGCAAGATCACTAGATCTTACGTCACCAGACTTTTTTTGTGGGGTTTTCTTAAAGGAAAAATTTATGAAGCTGTGCCCACAACTCGTTTGATTGAGAGAATACGAAATGCCTGTGCCGAAATTTAATCAAATGTACTTTTGAGCTGTGTGCATTCATTTCAAAACCGAATCAATAAATGCATTGAAGTTGAAGGTCAACATTTTGAACGTATGCTTTGATTATTACAAATTTGGTTGGTTTAGAGTTGTTAATGATATACGTATTTACCAGAAACTAAGAATTTATGTTGTAATTTAAATAGGAATATTTTTTACTTACCATATTTCGTTAAAACTTTAAAGTTACTTTACATTTGTCACTCTAAAATTTTCAGCTTTCCAATTAAATAATAGATAGTTTAGCAGATCTAAAGCAAAAAAATAAAAATCGATGAATTGCTACGCCACCTGTCAAAATCGAAGAAAATGTTTTGGATAGACTATTCTGAGTTTTTGACGTACTATTCGAATCTCCAATAAAGTGTTGTGGTTACCATTTGAATATCTTAAGTTGGCCCCTGCCTAGCCTGCAAGGTAGAAGTAGGCGTTGTTTTTCTGACACGAATAAACTTTCCCCTCCCAGATATTAACTTCTTATTTGAAACATTTTTTCCTCGGATCACTCGTTTCCGAAATATTTAAGCGTTTCTAGATATAAAAAAAACACCCTGTATATACAGGGTATCCCGAAATTAGGTGGCGAAACTGAAACAGTAAAATCTGCTCCCAAAACGAATATTAATTTTTCAAATCAACATGTATGGAAACATGCCCTCTAGAGACCCAGCATTAGGGTATCTTGCGAATTATTTCTAAACGGTTAAACTTCAAAACGCAAATTTTTGTCAATCGCAATCTAGATCTGAAAATTAAACTGTCATTATTTGATCATAGACGTATTATTTGGGGGGGTAGAAATACAAAGAAAGCTCTAACTTTTTTTGGAGAAATTGTGGAAAAAAAGTGCTTATAGGAGTATCCTCTAGCAATTATTGCAGCTCATGTTGTAGAAAATTTAAATAATTATGGGTATTTAACCTATTTGGTAAAATAATTGGTCCTGTCGAGTTATCCCCTATGACACCTGTTGATACATAGAATGAGAATCTATGTTTTTTATTTTTTTTTTCCGGTGATGTTTGGGAAATGTTCTTTTATGCACTCCCAGAGCTGGTGATCTGTCGCTCTGGGTTGTGTAGGACTCCAGTTAAGCTGTTTACCCACTGAAACCCTTTCCTCACCGCCGAGGTCGTGTTTGGCCTTGCACTGAAGTTATTTTTGCCCTATTGTGCCCTCGTTTTTTACTCCCTCATTATCCCTGTGTATTCAATAAACTTCAGAAGAATCTTGGGGGGGTTAGGTACGACGCATGACTTGGTCTGGTAGTCATCCCTGGCTGCAGTTCGTCGATTTTCCCAAGCAGGTGCCTCTTTATGAGTTCTCCCTGCTCAGGAGAAAAGTATTTTTCGGGATGTCCGACCGCCGCTATGGCCATCTTAATGCCGGAAACCGCAACCTTGCACGACTTGTATGTGGTCCTTTCTATACGGAAGTTCCCACATACCGCCGCCCAGGTGCTGGCTTGTTGGGTGTGCTGCCATCCGACTGGTGTCGCTTTTGCGTCCCGGTCATGGCAGCTTTTTTGGGGTCTGCTGGTTCCCCTGAGGGTCTACCTAGCACAGTTTTGGTGGGTTTTCCGCCTGGTGGCCTCCGAGAGTTTTTTACCATCCTTCCGTACTTTGCCAGCTGCCGAGACCGACGGTTCTTCTGAGGAGGTCCCGCCGGTATTTTGTGGTGTATTCCTCCCCATCATTCCCACGATTAGCTAGGGAAGGGTTAGGTCCATCCAGACAGACCCACGCATGTGTGGGTAAGGCTGATACAATGAGGTGCGCCTCTTGCCTCAACGTTAGCCGCTTTTGACTGGACTTTCCCCGAGCCTTGAATCTCTTGGCGCGCACTATAACGTGAGAATTGGGAGATGTTATGTTAGTGACCTCGTCACGCGATCCGGGTAGTAAAACCAAGATCCTAGCGCCCCCTACGGTACTTATCCCGAGGCCGTAGCCACGAGAGTCGTTGAACTGCAGACGCTTTGCTGTTTGTGCCACGAGCTGGTCCGCGGCGACGGCTTTCGCTCCAGATCCGTGGGTTTTATTCCACGACTTTCACTTATGACCGTCGCTAACCGGTCAGACTGGGGATGCGCCCGATGGGGCGCTCAACCTGCACGGGAGAATCTATGTTGGAAGTTTGCCATTCGAACAACTCTCGGATTCTCGACGCTCCAAAAATGAGTATTATGACTGCTGAATGCTTTGCCTATTGAAAAGGTTGCCGCATCCTAACATAAAATAACTTTTAAATCATGTTGGTGGCTTAGAATCCAACGGGAAAATTCTGTACGTGCTGGAAAATCATGTACCCTTTTATAATGGAAAGGATGCAATCCTTGCATTTGAGTCATTTTTCCGATCTGAAAATAGGATTTAAATTAAAACATCTGTTGTATGTTTTCGTGAAATCTTTTTTATCATTTATCCTTTTTTTAATAATTGAAAAAAAATGCATGAAGACATTCACTAGTTTTTTTATACTCGGTAAAAGTAAAAATGCTTGCAATGCTTATATTTAGGGATATTGGTAATATTTTTATAAAACAGGGATATGTTTTAAGTCATTTAGTTGCCACACGGTGCGTCTGACCCGAGTAAATTAAGAGTACTTTTCTTCGTAAACTACTTCAGATTTCGTAGAGAAAAGATTGATTTATAATATCAAATCAAAGTTAAAGCTTCTTTGTACTTCTACCCCCCAAGTTATACGTCTATCATGAAATTCTGACAGTTTTAATTTCAGATCTAGATTCAGCATATCAAAATTACTAAAGTTCCTCAAACTTACGTTTTGAAGTTCACCATTTAGAAATAATTTGCAAAAAACCCTACTACGGGGCCCGTAGGTTCCGTAAGGGAGCAGTTTTCGATGCATGTTTATTTGAAAAATTATTAGTAATTTTGAGAGCAGATTTCACGGTTTCAGTTTGGCGACCTCATTGCGGGAAACCCTGTATATATCAAAATTATAGTACGATATTAAGTATATCAGTTACCGACGACAAATCGATTAATTAGAATTACCTGATTTTCAGAAACCCTACGTAAATATCCGGTTGCGCCAGTTATTCCTAGGAGATGCACTAAAGACTACAAAATCAGAGACACGAATATAGTCATTGAAAAAGGTCAGTGTTAATTCCGTCAGTTATTGATACCGTATGGTACAAATTTAACGTAAATATTTACCAGAGCATTTTCTTTTAGGAACCAGAATATACATTCCCGTAATTGGAGTACATCTAGATCCTGAATACTATCCCGATCCAGACCGATTTGACCCTGAAAGATTCAGTCCGGAAAACAAAGCCATACGACCGGACATTGCTTGGATGCCATTTGGTGATGGACCTAGGCAATGCTTAGGTAAAGTTTTGATAACTTCGTCTTTTAATATACTTCAAATAATCGACAGCTGTTCTTCAAAAAAATGTTGAAACAATATGTGACGTTCAGTTTAACAATAGATAAATCGTTTCTGATGATCTCCTAACTCTAAATACTTGATAATACCTACTGTGGATACAACTCGTTAACTTATAATACTGCTATTTTAATATTCGTTTATGATTCCAAAGGTTCCAAAATTCTTATTACTAATAACTATTTATTTTGTAGGAATGAGATTTGGCTTGCTGCAAACCAAAGTTGCCTTAGCGTCTCTCTTGCAGGAATTCAAATTTACTTTAAACAAAGCTATGAAGGCTCCATATACAGCAGATACCGGTACCTTTGTGTACATGTTCAAGCAGGATGTGCTTTTAGACGCTACGAGAGTAAACTAGAATAAACTATATAGTGCTATTCGTTTAACTGCGGTCATGGCCCAAATTAAGAATATAGTGAGAAAACTTCAAATTCAACTAAAGAACGGATTTCCAAATATACAAGAAAGCAATTTAATAGCTCAAGCAACTATTTTGGACCGGTGGAAATAATTCGAGTTTATGGACAAGGGAGGATACAAATGAGGTGTTGAAAACTTATAAACAGAAGCAGCTAACAGTACACCCCCTGATGGAAATGTAGAAAATAAAAGATGTGATAATCGTATTCAAAGTGAAGTCGCACAAATCGACCAAAATATTGCATTTAAAAACAGTTTATTTGATGGTTTATTGTTTGAGTTTTATGCGGAAGTTTGACAACACTCAAATCCGAGCAATTCCACAGCATTTATTAGTCTAGAAATAAATCAATATTTAGACGAAAGTATTTTCCTTGAAAAGGATACCTCAGGAGCATGTCAAGTTCTGTTTGTCCGGGCATCAAAGAAATGATATATACGCAAAACTTTAACAAATTATGAAAATCTATATATATAAAATGCTCGTGTAACAGTTTTAGTTACCATACTCCTCCGAAACGGCTTGACCAATTTGGATGAAATTTTAAACGTATGTCCAGTAGGTCTGAGAATAGGTTGTTATCTATTTTTTATATCCCTAAGTGATATGGGTGCTGCAATAAACCCCTATCTTTTAATAGCGATATTAGTAATTCAATAAATTTCGACACGAGCGATAGATGGCGACACCGATTAGTTTCCTCCCTTGGTGTTATGCATTGGGTGTTTTAGTGCAGGTTTCGCGGTCCCTCCTGGAGCTTGGGCTGAGGGCTTGGTTTGAAAACTCCAAAACATCCACAAACTACCCCTAACATTCGTTCAGGTTGTGGCAAACTTGCGATTAGTTCAGGAGAAATGCTACAGTAACATAGCAGAAGCTGAAAGAATTCACTCCAACAAAGGGCGAGGAGAGGGAGAGGAGCTTCCAGGAAGGTAATGGACGACAATAAATTTTCGGGTTTCAGACGCAGAAGAAGTATTGGACATTATTGCACATGACATGACATTGCACAACAACTCACACGTTCCCATGCACCAAATAAATACCGGCTTCATTCGTGCCACGGATGTAAGATCCACAAGTGCCACGGATCAACGGATTACTTAACACAGGTATGTATTGCTCGAAAATAGTACATAATAAGGTGATTACACAGGCACTTGTTTGGAGTCACAGGCTCAAATGTATGTTTTTGTAATTTGTAAACAAATTAATAATTCCAGGTTATGAGTTTCGAAATAGGTTATGTCATTCAACGATTCCTATCGAATTTACCGTTGATCCTGGTCTATCTTACTGTCAGTTTCTCTATTTATCCATGGTTACCGGAGTTTTAAATAATTACGAAGCAACAGGTATTTACATAATGTTAATTAGCCAGATTACCTTGAAAAACATGGTTGTCGTTTCTATAATATAGTTTTTTTGCAAATTTCTTAGTTTTTAATAATAATAAATTTTTTTACTATTTTTTTGTACTCCTAAAACGACGCCCGACAACACCTCCAGAGGAATGACGCCCATTTTGAATAATCCTGTATATAAACGATCAATCACATTTTCGCCTAACTTATACTGTATATGGCGATGATTATTGCATCTCTATGCACTTGACCGTAAGTGCATCCAGCGGATTTGTTTTCCTGCTTAAACTATATTTTGCTCGCCCAATCACTAACCATTGAGTAACGCATGGATTACGCGAGAGTCCGTAAATTACAATTTTCCACTATGCTGAGTTCAATTTAATACTTGCTTTTTATTGCGTTGTAACGATATCAAACTGCAAACTCATCAGCTTTCATATGAAACACATTTTCGCTTCAGTTTTGATCCGCATGTCATAATACCAGAGCGAAAATCTTTTCGGATATATTTTTTTAATACTTTAGATTTAAGAAGCACATTCGCAAAATTATTTTTTTCTAATATTCATATTTCCTTAGATCGTTTTGTAAAATAGACGAAAATGAAATAATCCTGATCCCTGGTTTAAATGAGAATTCAAGCTTATTATGACTGACATCGTAAAGACATAAATCGTAAAGCAGCTTTTTGTCTGCACCAAAGGAAATGAATTATTTTATGGAGTTTAAAAGCTACAAGACGTTCGTAAATTTCAACAGCCAGCTCTAGCTTTAATCCTACTAAACCGTTGCCACAACTAAGTGTCGCTAGCAGTATTGTCCCAGTCTAATATATTGCCGCACTATTTATAAGGCCATCATAACTCTTTTGCAGATATGCCACTTGTTCAACAGTTTCTTTGGGACGCCACTTGGGAATTACAACATAAATCTCTAGGTTGAAGTAATTTCCAATTGGGAGGGATATTTTATAATACTTGGCGGGCTTATAGTATTAAGATAGAGCCAAATATTTAAATAATCTAATAAAATTGTACGGTAACTACCTCCATTTGGCTCATTTAGGATCGAAACGGCAAAAGAAGATGAGCATATGTCTTTCTCGTCTAGGTTCAAACCTCCGATGATTCGAAATTAAAAAAAATATATATTCAAGGTTACTTTGGAACCGTTTGAGCAAATAGTCGAGTATTTGCAATTAAATTATTAACGTGACGAGAATGATTCAATACATACGATCTGTCTGTAATGTTCACAAAGTTTACTGTCTGATAAACTTTAAGCTAGATCTGCACTGTAACATTCCTGTAAGCAATAGATTTACTTAAAACTGTATTACTTAACGTTAAATTGTAGCTATTATGAAATAACTGAATAAAATTGAAGAAAATAAACTATCTTTGTTATTTATTTTTGTTTATGATCTTGTGTGTTTATTAACCCATGATCGATTTATGCCTGCGTCCCGTAGGTCCTCATCGACCAACTAAAAAACATATACTGAAAGACTGAAAAATAAGATATTTGAAACTTTCTGCTGTTTCATTTAAACTGCTCAACAAAATAAACGTTACACGGCTAAATTTGCCCTAACTTTGGAACATGATAAAGTCTGACCGCTGCGAGGTATTTGATTTCTGCTGGAAGTGTTGAATAGGAAAATTATTTTTCCATCCGGTCGTGTTCCTAAAAAAATTAGTGCTTCAAATAAAGTTTCTAGAGGTTGGGAAATGTAGCAATGCGAAATTTGTGAAAGTTTGACATGCTCCCAATTGAGCAAAACATATATTTTTTGGATTTTAACATCAAAAGCATGAAGATGGACCTTATATCTTTAAACGATTTTCCATTTTTTCACTTTTTTATTCACGGGGTAATGTTAAAAAATTTACTTTTTGGTCTTACAGCTGCCGTCGAAACTGAAACGTCATGTAAGAAGATACAAGTATGATCGTCGACTCAAGACAAAAATTAAATCCATATGATTGCATTAAAAGTGACCCAATCGGAATTTCCCCCGAAATTTGATATTATGGCAGATTTTGAATTAAAATTAAATTTATTTTCAAGCCACCTGTCAATTCTGAACAGTTTAGGATGATCTATGCTTGACATGAGTTACGATTGACTAATGTGAACTGCATGTTCTCGAAAGAAAGAAGCCATTTGGTCACCTAAAAATGCCCGTAACCAAGCAACATGAAACTCTGAATAATCACTTTGGCTCCTCATTTGTCACTGCTTGACTTTTGTTGACTTAATTTGAATTACCTACTGATAAAATAGTGCTTATTCATTATAAAATATCCGGTTTAAATAGAGACCAACTAGACATAGTAGACAGAATGCGGGACAAGGGATTCGGATTTATCCAAATCGCCTATTTTTTTAATACTACGCGGCAAAGTATTTATCGAGCCCTTCGTCGACGCCAGGCTGGTGACATTAATTACCGCAGAAGTGCAGGAAGAAAGCAGAAAACAACAGAATCGCAAGACCGACATCTCAAAAGTACCGTTCGACAAGACCGTACATCAACCGCAAGCGCTATAAACAATGTGTTTAGAAATGCTTCTGGAGTCCATATCTCCAACCAGACGGCTAGATGAGGACGGCCTTCAGTCCAGAAGACGAGCAGCTTGCCCTCTGCTGAAACGTAAACATCGGGCTATTGGATTGCGATCGGCAAGAGAACAAGAAGACTGGGGAATAGCGGAATCGAGTAGGTGCGTGTTCACGGATGAAGGTAGGTTTTTTTGTTTAGCTCAGATGGGCATGTTTTGTTGTAGAGAAGAAGGAACGAAATATTCATGGAACAGCACATGGAATCAAGGGTAGCTTTTGGTGGTGGAGGAGTTACTGCTTGGGGTGGAATAAGAAGAAGATGTGTTAGGGATATTGTGGTACCCTATGCTGACAATGTTTTTTTTTTTCCTTTTTTTATTATCTCACAGTAATATTACAAACTACCCGAAGGTATTCAGAAATTTTATTTGACATACAATTTTAAGCTGTCCCCCACAACTGTATACCGTACGTCCAGACTGGTTTCAGCATCACTTTGTATAATAACAGTTTATTCTCGGTTGTTAATTGTGAGTTTCTCCCGATAATCCAGGACAATCTTCTTAGTTTAATGCCTAGTTGTTTCCTTTTCTTGCAAATGTGAGAACGCCATGTCATGCGCCGATCCAAATGCATGCCCAAGTATTTGGCTTCCCTGACTTGAGGTATTTGGAAATTATTAAGTTGAACAGGAGGGCAATTCTCTCTACGCATGGTAAAAGTTACTTGTACATTTTTAGTTCCATTGGCCTTAATCCTCCGTTTCTTCAGCCATTCCTGTACCAATGTTAAGTTATTCTGCAGGATGCCAGACGCAGCTGTCGGATTTACATGTGTTGCCAAAATTGCAGTATCGTCAGCAAATGTGGCAGTCATACAATTTGAATTTGTTGGTAGGTCTGCAGTGTAAAAGAGGTAAAGCAACGGCCCCAACACACTGCCCTGCGGCACTCCAGACTCAATCGGCTTTAAACTTGTATATTCTTCGTGAAATTTTACTAAGAAGTGCCTATCTTGCAGATACGATTTTAAAATCTGATAGATGTTGTCAGGAAGGACCCTTCTGATTTTATATAACAGTCCCATATGCCAGACCTTATCAAAAGCCTGACTAACATCCAAGAATGCTGCTGTGCAGTATTCTTTTTGTTCAAATGCTTTACTGATTTTGGAAGTTATATAATGTACTTGTTCAATTGTGGCATGTTCCTGTCTGAACCCGAACTGATGGTTGGGAATGAGTTGTTTTTCGTCTAGTATGGGTTGGATTTTCGATTTTAAGAATTATCTTTCAAACAGCTTGGTCAATATTGGCAGCAGGCTGATAGGGCGGTAAGATTTTATATCTTCTACCGGTTTTCCGGGTTGGGGGACCATTATGATTTGAGCTACTTTCCATTGGCAAGGAAAATAGCCTATTCTTAAGATGGCATTAAACACTTGTGTTATAAATCTTTTTGCCACATCTGGCAGCTCTTTCAGGATCTTCCCTGTAATGAGATCATATCCGGGGGCTTTTTTTGCACTGAGCTCTTTTATGGCAAGTTTTATTTCTTTAATTGTGAAAATTTTAATAGGACATTCCAGCTGACCCGGGGCCTCTAATATTTGTTTGATTTCTTTTTCTTCTTCTCTCGGTATTTGGGATTCAAAGGGTTCAAAAACCTTTATCAGATGATCTGCAAACATATCGGCTTTTTGAGTATCGCTTTTTGCCCATTTTCCGTCTTAAATTTTTATAATAGGTATTGCCATCTGGGTTCTTTTTTTTTTTGTGGCTCTCCATAGTGAGTACTCTGTGGCTTTGGTGGCAGTTAGTTCTTTCAGATAGTTTTGAACTGCTTGATTTTTTTCGTCATGTCGGAGGTTCTTTAGTTCTTTGACAGCTTTGTTGAGTTTAGTTTTGTCATGAGGTGATCTTGAATTCTGCCACTTTTTCCTCAGCTGTCTTTTTTTCAGCTATTTTTTGTTTAATTTTAGCTGAGCAGGCATTTTTGTTTTCGTGGTAGTTGTTTGGATCAGGTGTTGATTTCCAAGCTGTTTGTTGTATAATTTTAGTTAGGTATTCTGTGTTGTTTTCTATGTCCGAATTTGATTTTAATGCGATATCCAATTAGTTAGCTCGTTCTCGATTATGCTTCTGAAGGCTTCCCAGTTTGTACATTTTGAGCTAAGAGCAGGTGGTTTTGTCATTGTTATTATTTTTGAGCTCAGTGTTATAATTATTGGCGAGTGATCCGATGAGGGATCAAAGCACGATTTGACTTGAAGAAGGTTTATGGAAATTCCCCCAACTTCAAAGAAATCAATTACATCTGGTGTTTTTTTCCTATCGGTCGGCCAGTAGGTTGGTTCCCTAGTAGATTGGTGATGCATATTTTTAGCTTGCATAGCTTTAAAAAGTTCACGGCCCTTAGGAGTCGTAAGTATTCATCCCCACTGTGGGTGCTTAGTCTTATAGTCTCTTATAGTAGATTATAGTCTCCTCCTGCGATGAAACGATGTCCCAATGTGTCAAAGAACTCCTCAAAATCTTTCTTTTTCATTGCATGCTTTGGTGGGCAATACACAGCTGCGATGGTTATTGGTCTATCCCAGTCTAAGACGCTTATGCTAGTGGCTTCTATGTATTCTTTTTCATACCTTGAATGCAGGTGATGCTTAATAGTGTTTTTTACAATGATGGCGGTTCCTCCATGTGCTGTACCATCAGGATGTTGTGTTTTGTACACGGTGTATTTAGGCATTTTAAAGTAATGTTTTTTGGTCAAATTTGTTTCTGAAATGAGCATTATGTCTATCTCTTGGTTTTTAATAAAAGCTTGTATTTTCAAAGTATGCTGGGCTAAGCCATTGGTGTTCCAAGCTGCTAGTTTAAATTGTCTGACCATTTAGGGTCATTTTTTAGACAAGAGTGGTTATTAATTTTATCATGGTACTCATTTGTTGCAAGATTCTGACAATGTTGGATGATAGCGGAATCGAGTAGGTGCGTGTTCACGGACGAAAGTAGGTTTTTTTGTTTAGATCAGATGGGCATGTTTTGTTGTAGAGAAGAAGGAACGAAATATTCATGGAAGAGCACATGGAATCAAGGGTAGCTTTTGGTGGTGGAGGAGTGACTGCTTGGGGAAGAACAAGAAGAAGAGATTTGTGTGTTAGGGATATTGTTGTACCCTATGCTGACAATGTTGGCGGCGATTTCATTTTGATCGATGACCGATTGAGAACCGAGACTGATGATCGATTTGACAATGCAGGAACTGAATCGTCGCCGAGTTTTTGGGCAATCACAATATCGAAAGAATGGATTGGCTACCCTTGTATCCAGACATGAATCCGATTGCGCATATCTAGACTAGAGTAAAGAAAAATTTACATGAAGAATGGGACGCTATTCCCCAAAGGTTTTTGCGTAACCTAGTGGAGGGAACGCCAACAAGAGTTGTGGCTGTTATAAGGGCTCAAGGAGGCCCGACAAAATATTGAGTTCTAATTTAAATTTAGTACCACTGTAAACAAAATATTTTCGTAATCACCTTCTCGCTTTTTTCTTATTCAACTGAACCATTACGGCGATGGTTGGTTGGTTCAATTTATTGTTAAGTGAATGTCTAAGCATTAGGGTAAATATTATTTAGCAACTCTGAAAGAAGAAGGTAACAAACATGACGGCCTATCGATATCATAAGACGGAAATGTTTGCAATGCAAAGAAATATCAGCTTAATTGGCAAAACTTTTCCGACTGGTGACAGAGTACCTGAAACAAGCCAGTTCGATTACTGATTTTTAGTACATGCAAATTCAGATTTGACTCACTTTGAACGCAACCCTCTATTTTCAATTTTTAAAATCATGCTAGCATAATTTTCCTAACGTTTTAGCTTCAGCATGAGTCCAAGGTTTTAAAAATCAGTCCAAGAGGAAAAATATTATCACTACAAAGCCGAAAATTAATTTTTGCAAAATAAAAGGGATAGGATTTTTACGTTGCCTCATTACGCGTATTTTCAGGTAAACAAAGGGCTTACCCTTTTTCGAGAACATGCAGTTGTAGTTTGGTTCCTCCATCACTCAATCTTAACTTATGTTAAGTATAGATCATCCTAAACTGCCCAGAATTAACGGATCGTTTGAAAATAAATTTAACTTTAATTCAAAGTCTACCATAATACCAAATTTGGGGGGTAATTCTGATTTCGTCACTTTTAATGCAATTCTGTGGATTGCGTTTTCGTCTTGAGTCGTCGATATACTTGTATTTTCTTACACGAGGTTTTAGTTTCAACAACTGCGGTAGATTTTGAAAATCGGTCCACGATGAAAAATTTGATCGCTGCAAAACCAAAAATTCTTTGACATCACCTCGTAATTAAAAAAGATAGGGCAAAAATTTTAAAATCGTTTTGAGATATGAGGTCTATATTTATGCCTTTGATGTTGAAATCGAAAAAATGTTTTTTTCTGCTCGATTGGGAGCATGTTAAACTTTCACAAATTTTGCAGTGCTTCATTTGCCAGCCTGTAAAAGCTTTAACTCAATCATCAGTTTTTTGTAAAAACACGCGCTAATAGAAAAAGAATTGTGCTACACAACACTTCAAACAGAAATCAAATATCTCGCAGAAGTCATAATTTATCGAGTTCTAAAATGAGGGCAAATTTGACCGTGTAACATTTATTTTGTTGACCAGGTTAGATAAACAACAGGGCCCCGTTAACTATATTGCATTTTATTCGTGCTTTTATGAGACATAACATTTAATTTTGCATTTTTGCACTAAAATAGGAGACGGCTAATGCTTTACATGAAAATGTTGCAATATATTTCTAATCATGAATAAGTAAATTTTAATAATATAATTTTACTACTTAAGTAATACATTACCAACAAAAAATGGCAGCCGTTAACATCGTCTTTTCGAGTGATGATTTGAGTAAGCCAAAAAATGTGTGTCTTATATGCAAACGTTCAGTAAAAAGTGAGTTAAAGTGGTGTAAATGTGATGTTCGGTTTCATCCATCGCGTGCCATGCGGCAAAAGGGACTCAAAGTGGTTGAATTTGAAGTTGTGATGTGTTTTCCATGTACCAAACAGGATGCCGAAGCGAAAGAGTTAGATCATTTTAAGCGTAAGAACAAACTTCTGAATAAAATATTGCTGCAAATGATCGAAAACCAAACTCTTCTTAGAGTAAAAATAGCACTGCTTGAGGAAAATGCTTTGGAAAATCCGATAAAGATCTTAAATGAGGTTAGAAAAACTGACAATGAACAAGAAAGTACGTCTTCGCTGCCCTGCAACTCGGCACCACCCCGCGGACTCACATCTCGGACCCGTGCAGAAGTGTAAACGTTCAAACGCCATATAATGTCTCAGCAAAACCTAATGGCACAATAC